ATTTACCTGAGGTAGATACACTCCTTGGAGAGAACAATCATGGGAGAAAGAAGGGCTGCTTATGCACAGGGAGACAGCTCAGGGGGCATGGGTGCATGGAGGGATGGACACAGGGAAGAGGTGATTATTAGGAGGAAGTGGAAGGGGAGCTATTGCATTGTGGTAAATTGTGGTCTGTCATAAGACAAAGTGTATGTGATGTATGGAAAGTGAATTTGCTCTGTAAATCTTCACCCAAATCACAATAAAAGAAAAAAAGAGAAAGAAAATTCTTGTTCAGTAATTGCTCTCAGGAGAAATTAAGGTAGGGCAGTAGGATAGGAAGGGGGAGAAGCCAGGAAAGAAGACTGATACATGCTATCTCAGCCTGTCCAAGTGGCGAGTGAAAATTATACCTCAGAGTTAAACCCAAATGGAAGCATTTGCTAGGTCACCCTCTTGTGATTCCATTTTGCAATTCCTTATTTATTAAAAAGATCAATCATCTTGTCATATGTTTATTTTTTCATTGGTATTTCTTTTATCGTGCACTCTCAGCTCTTCATCCTTGGCTAATGGCAGCTTCATGGGGGTGGACTTAAGCTTCTAGGTACTTCCTGGGGACTGATGCTGGAGGTGGGCAGGGAGGGTGCAAAAAGGGGACCAGAAGAAATCAGCATGATGCACTGACAGCATCTGCTACATTCCCCTGAGCCCCAGATCACATCTCATCTCCCCCCTTACTACCCATCCTCAGGCCTTCCCATAACAATTGCAAGACCTGGTGCCAGATAAAATTGGAGGCCCACACACTACATGTACAAATATAAAAATCCAGCAAACTGTTAGATGTAACATATTTTATTCTACTTTTCCTATCTTTTGTTGTTGTTTGTTTTATATTGCCTCTAGCTGAACATGAAGAGGACTGGAAGAACTTACTGATGAAGAGCCAAGGCTTCTGTGTGCATTGCACCTCAATGTAAAGAAACAAAACTCCTCACAATCAGACCAATAAACAACATCATGATAGATAAAATAGTGAAGTGGTCAAGGATTTCATTTTACTTAAGTCCGTAATCAATGCCCATGGAAGCAGCAGTCAGGAAATCAAATAATGTATTGCATCGGGCACATCTGTTGCAAAAATCTTTTTGAAGTGTTGAAGAGCAAGGATGTCACTTTGAGGACTAAAGTGCACCTGATTCAAGCCATGGTATTTTCAATAGCCTCATATGCATGTGAAAGCTGAATAATGAATAAAAAAGACCAAAGAAGAATCAATGCCTTTGAATTATGGTGCTGCTAAAGACTGTTGAATATACCATGGACTGGTAGAAGAATGAACACATCTGTAGGAAGTAGAGTCAGAATGCTCCTTAGAAGCAAGGATGGTGAAACTTCATCTTATACTTTTAACTTGCTGTCAGGGAGGACAGATCTCTGGAGAAAGACATCAGTGAAAAAGGGGAAAACTTCAATGAGGTATATTGACATAGTGGCTGCAACAATGGGCTCAAACATAGCAATGAATGCAAGGATGGTGCAAGACAGGGCATGTGGTTTTGTTGTGTTGTGCGTAAAGTTACTATGAAGCAGAAATGACTTAATGGCACCTAACAATAATTTACACTGCATCCAGGAGAGATCAGGACTCTCATACACTGCCAGGGGACTGTAAAATGATACAACCACTGTGGAAAACAGTATGGCAATTCCTTAAAAAGTTGGAATTAGAAATACATTTGATCCAGCAATCCTATTACTAATTTATATCCTAAGAAGTGAGAGCCAGGACAAGAGCAGATATATGCACACCTATGTTCATTGCAGCACTATTTACAATAGCAAAAAGATGGCAACAACCAAGGTGCCCATCAACAGAAGAATGGATGAGCAAACTATGGTACATGGTATTCCACACAATGGAATACTATGCAACTCTAAAGAATAATGTAGAATCTGCAAAACATTGCATAACGTGGATGAACTTGGAGGATACTATGCTGAGTGAAAGAAGTCAATCACAGAAGGCCAGATATTGTATTATTTCATTACTGTAAAAAGTCAAGGAAAGGTTTATATATAGAAAGAAACTTTCTATGTTGGTTACCAGAGGTAGAAGAGGAGGGAGGAAACACTGAAAAAAAAAGTGGAAAAAAAAATTAAAAACAAAACACTGCATCCATCCCTTCATAATGACTTGGAAGGCCAAGCTAGAATTTGTGGAGAATGCCTGTCCCTGGCCTTCTGGCTGTCTCTATTTCATAGACTACCCTCTTTACTAGGGCCCTCTTTCAGAGG